ATAGCTTCTGTGGCTCGCCAGGCGCAAAGGTCTGGGCTCCGGTATAGCTGTTGCAGCTGGCTGAGCCCCGCCCACGGGTAGTGTGCCCGGGGTCTGATATACGGCAGTTGCATGCCCTGGAGCCTGGGCGGTAGGGGTCTGTGCTACCCCTCCCGCCTGAGATGTGGCTGGGTCTGCTGGAAATAAACCAGCCTGAGTCATAGAGTCCACGAACTGCAGCATACGTCCCATCACCTCCTGGAATCCCGATGCGGACACGAAATCCACCAGGGCTGGCTCCGCTGCAAGCACCTCGCCCTGCTCCTCAATAATAGAATCCTCTACTAGATCCACTGGTGGAATAACTGGAGAAACTCTAGGACGCCTCGTCCTCTACCATGAACTGGAGCCCTCCCTCGGCCTCTAGTAACAGGGGGAGCAGCTCTTCCACAGTCGAGTACATCTGTCACACACGTTCTCACCATCTGTGAGAGAATAAGAGAAAGATACTTAGCACAACATCAACTGCATGATTGGAGATGAAGAAAGAGTAGTTTTCCTAACACCCTACAGCCTCTCGAAGATAAGTACAGACGTCTCCGCACCGATCCGCAAGACTCTATTAGACCTGCTCATAACTTGTGAGGCCTACGTGAACCTAGTGCTCTGATACTATGTTGTCACGACCCAATTTCTGCTATAGGCTGTGATGACGCCCAACGTCGCCACTAGGCAGTGAACTAACCATGTAATTATTCTTTTTAATAAATTTCAAAGTAGTTGAATTTCATTTATTAAGGAAATGAGTAGAAAATCCAATAAAGTAAAGCAAAAGCTAATGAGTGAGCAAATACAGTGAAATAAATGTTCCAAAACCATAAAGTCTACTAGCATGTCTTCCAAGACCTGGTGTCACAAGTGTATGAGCAACTTGTAGAATATACAAAACTATAGACTGCTGTCTGAAATAGAGTAGACAGAAAATAATTGCAAAAGAGAGACTCCGGGTGCTGCAGAACGGACTCAGAAGGCAGCTCACCACTAGGCCTCGGGGTAGCGGGGGTGCACGCCGGAATGACTGCTAGATGCACCTGCCTCGGATCCTGCACGATTAGTGCAAAAGTGTAGCATGAGTACATAAACAACATGTACCCAGTAGGTATCAAGTCTAACCTCGAAGAAGTAGTGACGCGGGATCGACATCGATACTTACTATGGACTAACAATAATATACAGAAATGCTAAATAGACATAGAATATGTGAATAATAATATTAACACAATAACAACATTGATTAAATGATTCTTTAATTAATTAAGATATTCCAAAGGTCCTCCACTAACACATACTAATTCCAAATAAATTCCAAACAAATAAATAGATTATAACCTCTCAATTCATGAAAATAATATCAAGTGTGTTCGGGCTTCAAGCATTAACACGCACGATTTATGCTGAGGTCGTACGGTTCGATCCAGAATAATGTGTACACTGCCGAGGGTCTAGCGGCACAATCCATAGATGCATCTATTATACTGACGAGGCGTTCAGCCCACTCCAAAATAAGAGAGAATACTTTATAAACATCTTATTTAAAAGCTATTACAAGGCTAATACACAAAGAAACACAATTTCCATTAATGGTCAAGTAACCCGCCAAAACTCAAGTAAGTATAATTTTGTCTTTACAAATCCTTTATCAAGTTTCAATATAATTTAGGAACTTTAATTAACAAGTAGGGTGCAAACATTACAAGTATTTCATGATTTGGGTCCTAAACTACCCGGACTTAAACATAATTAGTAGCTACGCACGAACTTTCGTCACCTCGTGCGTACGTAGCCCCCATAATTAGAAGCAAATAGTAATTTAAATCACCTTTGGGGTAAATTCCCTCTTACAAGGTTAGACAAGAGACTTACCTCATCTAAAAGCTCACTTTCCGGCCACAAATTCACTCTAAGGAACCAACTTGGTGCCGAACAAATCCGAAGCTAGCCAAATATTATGTAAATTAATCAATATGCTCTCAAAAGTTAATAATTCAACTATTAGATTAATTACCCAACCTAATTTGGAAGATTCCTAAAATTCACCCCTGGGCTCACGTGCCCGAATTTCGGAAATTTTCAAAGATAATTATTACCCATAACCTCACGAACTCAAATATATAATTTTTACCGAATTCATAATCATATTCGTGGCTAATCCCATTTTTTATCAAAATCTAGGTTTTTCAACTAAACCCACAATTTATATGCTAAGAATCTACCAAAAATACATATATTAAACTAATCTCATATAGAAATCACTTACTTCAAAGTGCTAGGTGAAAACCCTTCATCAAAGAGCTCCAAAATCGCCCAAGAGATGAAAGAAATGAGCTAAAATTGCCTAAGTCCTGATATTAAAAGACCTCACTGCCTCCAGCGATTCCGCTTTTGCAGACATTGGCTCGCACCTGTGACGCCATTTCTGTGGAGAAAGGTCCGCTTCTGCGGAAGACACCCAGCCCGGCTTTGGGCACACCTGCGGAAGGGCACCGCACCTGCGAGCCCACTTCTGTGGCTCGCTTCTCGCACCTGCAACCTTGCCCATGCTGGCCTCCTCCGCACCTGCGGCCCCTTCATCGCAGAAGCGAGGTCGCTTCTGCGGAAGTTCCTCTGCTTCTACGAGCCGCAAGCCCCTTGTCCAAAATCGCACCTATGATCAATAGCTCGCACCTGCGTCAAAAATCTCGCATGTGAGGACGCACCAGAATTGGTGCACCTGTAGTCTCCCAAGCCAAATTCCGAGTCCGATTTCCAATCCGATCCATACCCGAGGCCCCCAGGACCCCATCCAATAACACTCACACATCCAACAACATATTACGGACCCGCTCGCACGCTCGAAACACCAAAATAACATCTAGAAGTACGAATCGGATGCCAAAACGCATGAATCAAATTATAATACTCAAAAACTTCTAGAAACACTTCGTGCGTCCAATTCTTATCAAATGAACTCGGAATGACGCCAAATTTTGTTAAATCACTATACAGAACTATTATCGGGCTCGGAATCCCAAATGGACCTCGATAACACCACAATCTACTCAAACCCAAATTTAAAGAACTTAAAAAACCCTCATTGTTTCAACCTTCAATATTAAGTGCCGAAACGCTCTCAGGTCATCCAAAACCCGATCCGAACATACGCCGAAGTCCAAAATCATCATACATACCTATTAGGACAGTAAAATCCCGGTTTTGAGGTAGTTTACTACAAATGTCTCCCCAAGTCAAACTTAACCATTTTAAGCCAATCTTAAGAAACTAAGTATTCCGATTTCAAGCCGAACCCTTCCAAGCCCGAATTAACTGTCCCCGCAAGTCATAAAATAGTAAAATCACATACGGGGAGTCTTAACTAGGGGAACGGGGATCTAGAAAGCATAACAACCGGTCGGGTCGTTACACTCACCTTGCCAGTTATGATCATTTGCAGTGAAATTGTTCAGCAGAGTCTGAATCTCACTCTATGGCTTTTGCATGCAACTTCCTCCACAAGCTGAGTCTAGATTCAGTTTGGAGGTCTCGTCCAACCCATCCGCAAGAGTATGTCCCAGCACCTCATCATTCTGATAATGATGTGAGTAGTCTCTTAGGAGTTTCTTGTATCTTTCCCAGGCTTGACGAAGAGTCTCACCATCTCGTTGTTGAAATCCAAGAATCTGGCTTCTCAGCAACTTTGTTTCCTTTGTGGGGAAAAACCTGATTAAGAACTTTCGTGCTAGATCATCCCAAGTGTGGATCGAGTTTGCGGGCTCTTTGTTTAACCATTCCTTAGCTTCCCCCAACAGTGAAAAGGGAAACAGAGTCAGTTTGACATAGTCCTTGGAGACGTTCGGATAGTTGTATGTATCTGTAATCTCCAAAATGTTCTGAATGTGCCGCTGTAGATCTTCATGAGATAGACCCACATACTACCCTGTGGACTGAATCAGCTACACCATGTACTGTTTGAGCTCAAAGTGTCCCGTGATGTCAGGCTTCATGATTGCCTGAGTCATATTAGCAAGACTAGGCCTTGCAGCCTCAATCACCGATCTTTCTTCATTTCCTGCCCTCTCGATTGGCTGTGGTTGGACTACAATACCCAACTCTGCAATTCTTGCTCATTCTTCCGCCTCCCTCCTTAACCTGTGGAAGAGTCTTTTGGGTTCAGGATCAGGAGGAGGAAGGTTGTTCAAACTGTTGCTTCTTCTTAGCATTCGAGGTGAACACTTGTAGAGTCAGAAACAGTCAAACAGATTAACACTTGAACAAAAACAAATAAATGCTTATTTTAGACAAATAACTAATTTCTAAATCCCCGGCAACGGCACCAAAAACTTTTTGGATCCAAACACACACGCAAGTATACGCAGTTGACAAGTAATAAAGGATAAGAGCGTATCGTTCTCATGAGGATTTATGATCAACTATTTGCCAATCTAAGCTATTTATATATTTAATGCTCAAGTGAGTATGACGAAGATGATTGTGATTTTTATAACTAAATTACTACGAACTAAACTAATAAGTAAGCAAGAAAATAAGATATCAAATAGCGCAAACAAACACTTAGGAAGAATTCAATGAGATGGAGATATTCCAGGGTTATGGGATTAACGTCTCTCCTATTGTATTTTTCGGGTTGATGTAATCACTTGACTTATCTAATTTGTTGATTAGCAGGGTTTATTATGCTCGCGAAGTTCTTTCGACGCTTCGCTCGCCTATTTAAGCCAACCTAATACTATATGTCTATAGAATCAAACATGGCAAGGACGCATGTATATTTCCTACAAAAATAACCAAGTAAGGCAACTAAAATATGTCTATCCTAATCACGAATCTATTCTCCGATGCCCGGATTCAAGAACTTATTCTATTCAACCTTATATGCAATTTATAGTTTTCACTTTTGAGTTCAACTATAAATTCGTAGATAGTACTCCATTGTTAGCTACGCAATAGAATAATTAAGTGCAAGATTGAATAAACAAATTAATATGATAAAATCAAGCAAACCATCAATTTACAATAGTCAAGAACGACCAATAACCCTAGAATAATAAGGTTCTTAGCCACTCATGTTCATAACAATTATCAAAATAGTGTTTTCAAACATAAAAGCTATGAATACTAGAAGAAGAATGGAAGAATTGATGAACTCCGTGCTCCCGAGTGTTTCGTACTTTTGTTCCTCTCTCAAAGTCGCGACTCTCTTGCCAAAATAGGTTTAGGTTTGCTTTTTACGAGTTGGGGGCGTCTTGGGGTCGAAATAACTAAGTCCCGGGCGAAATATTACAACTTCACGTCACCAGTGCCCAGGGCTAGCGTGCCCTGGCGCTGGAAATCTGGAGGTTCTGTTTTGTGTGCCACAGGTAGCGCCCCACGCTGCTTGTGGCGCTACTTTGTGACTTTTTCCCTTTTCTTCCCTTTTCGCTTCAATTCGCGCACCTTCGTCCCAAATTGCCTCCGGATGATTGCTACACATAAAAATACCACAAATTAGCACAAATTATTACATTACACATCCAAAATCTACGAGACATGAGTAAAATGAGAGGCTATATGTATATTAATATACATAATTTAAGCCGAATATCAACCCATAATATATATATATATATATATATATATATATATATATTACCGATTTGAAGGAAATGATCGACAAGTAGTGACTGTGGACGACTATAGACGTGATGAAGCTAACTAATGTGGCCTTGGTAAATATTTATCTATACTCTATTTTACATTAAATCAAATAAATTAATCTTAGCAGTTAAAAAATTAATTCAAAATATATATTACTTAATTACGGTTAAGTAACAAATATGTGTACAAAAGATAAATGCATGTATTACATTCACTGGTTTGGTGCGGGGTAAAATTTTAATGAACCTACAATGCAAACAAATCACAATCTTAAGTTGAATATGTCTCCTGTTATGAACCGTAGACAATATGTACTGATGGTGTGATTTTTTTTTCGAAAAACCCTTTTCTTTTTGGGAGAGATGTAAATTTATAATCAAGGGACAGTACTGCGTGCTAATAAACCACGAAGTTGAGGTTTGTTTGATTCGTGTAATTAACGATATATATCCGGTAAAGTGATTGGAGAAGATGCAATAAACAAAAAGGTAATGAGTTTCAATAATAAAGAAAAAGATATATAGTTGTTCAGCATATCATTATCTATCATTTATTCATTTTTATTTAAAATAGTAAGGCAAACTGCCGAAGAAGGAAATGACAATTCCTATCACAAGGCATTTATTGCTATTGTTCCACAAGGCTACATTTCTTCAACCTTTGGATGGTTTTATTCTTCTTTTAAACCCTGAAACCATAGCCAAATAAAAAAGAATAAAAGGTTAAAGAAATAAAAGGAAAAAAAAATACCGTTTTAAGTACATTAGGAAATACATATATACGAACTCAACTCAAGGTGGTGCCCCTCTAAATAATTAGCTATCCCCTTTAACCTTTCAACAATAAATTATATCACAAGGCATTATAGCTATTGTTTCACAACACTACATTTTTTCTACCTTTGGATGGTTTTCTTCTTCTTTCAAACCCTGAAATCATAGCAAAAAGAGAAGTTTAAGCAAACGGGGAAAAAGGCAACACAAACTTAAATAAATTATTTTAAGGTTTGACGAAAATTTCTGAATGCCTTTCGAAAAGATACTTATAGAATTTCCAAGCAAATAGGTGTGTTTGGTACGTTGAACGTCAAGTCCCAGGGAAATACTTTTTTTTATGAGGAAGTTATTTAATTTTTCATGCTCGGTTATAAAAAATATTTTTCAAGATAATTCATTCATTAAAAGGATGAAAATGACTTCCCGTGCGAAAGTTCATTACCTTACAATATCTCAATTTTAACTTTATATTACTTGCTTCAATTAATTTGTAGACACTTATATATTTAATTATTAACACTCAAAATGTGTTCAAAAGCACCTCCAATTTATTAATGTATTAGGAGTATTAATTAATTTTTAATTTCACTCATCCACCAAATGAAAAATATTTTTCTGCCATCATACCAAACAAAGAAGTTTCATACATGAGTAAAAGGGTGAGAAAATTATTAAGTTTACTTGGAGCAATCAATGTCGGGATAATTTGGCATAGTGCTAGTAACGTTGCAAAAGAGATGAAGTTGGTCTGTTTGCTGAATGGTTGGAGGAAAATTGGCAACGTAGAAGTTTTGAAGCATTCACAAATTGCTTGTCGACCTGCCTGGGAGGCAACAGCAACTCTAGCCAAATCTTGCACTCCAGCACAACACTCTTGGTTTGGTGTTGCACTTTGGCTTAGCAAAAATCCATGGCAAGAACTCATTCGCGGTATCAAATCATCACATTGGAATTGGATTTTTTCTGCTTTTGTTAGGACTATAATTAGAGCCAAAGTGACCAAAACCAATATTTGGACGTTTGACATTTCTTTTTTCTCTAGAAGAAGGACGATGGATTGGTTTACTTTTCCAAAATGTTAAGGTGGATATCTATTTATATTGTTTTAAAAGAGATGATGTATGCCTAGAATTTCATTTTACTACTTTTATTATTGATTTGGCAGTCCCTTATATATAAATGTTAAAAAGGAGAAAAATCAAATAAAGTAATGTGAAGCTTCTTCCTCTTAGGAGTTACGTTCTTTCTTACCATTATCCTAGAAATAAAACCTATGACTCTTAAATTGAAGTGACAATAAGTAAGTTGGCTGAAAGATTTGGTGAGGTATTAACGAGAATATCTAAGAAACCAAGTTGGTAGTTCCACCCACTTTATATTATGTGCTAGCTTAAATGGGCTTTACATTAGGAGGAGAAAATCTCAGAATCTCCATTATTGAAATTTTGAGTTCATATTTTCAAAGTTGAATCTAAAAGTTGTGATTCATATTGATTTTAGTTGTTAGTCCTATTGATTGTTAGTTGTCAAACTCAATTCGTTGTTGTGTTTGGAGCTCAAAATCTTAGTTAGATTACCGGTTTGTAAGTTTTGGGTGATGAAAATCAGATTAAAAAAGTAACTTACAATTATTAAACAAGCTTAAAGAAGTGTGTTTAAATTTTGAATTTAACTTTGAGAGAAATTTGGATTGCATGTTTGTTGGCGCAAGTAAATGTGAAGTTTTGAAGACTGACAAAAGAACTCATACATGGACCAGGTCCATCTTGTGAAGCACAGTTGTGATCAAACCCAAACATGTGAGATGCAGGTGAAGGAGATAAACCTAACTTATCAGAAGTAATATCTACTGATCATGATCGAAAAGGTTGCATACTGGATAAGGAGAAAGACTCCTTACACAAAGAGAACACGATTTAGGAAAAGGATAGAGTTAGAGTATGAGATCAACTAGAACTCTTCCACCATGGTAGAGTAGCGTCTGTATCCTAGTCAATCTCTAATTGCTAACTCCTTAAATATTAGTGTTGTTCTCTTTTGCAGGAAATGCACATAAGTAGAAGTTAAACGTGAATTGAGAGCAAAATAGCAGCGCAATTTTGCAAGCAATTTATGTTTGATTCAAGCGTGCAATCCTGAAGCTACTTGAACCAGATAGAAGAACCAGTTCCAAGTGTCTATCTTTTATTCTAGTTCAATTGTAGTAGGTGATTTTACATTGTACCTTTCAGCTTATTTAGAAGCAATTGTAGTAGGTACTTAGAGTTTTCAAGTTAGAGTTAACTTGAAGTTATCGCAACAGTTGAGGCTGTGTGCCACAACGGGATTAGAGTTAATCCTAGGTTTACAAAAGAATTTTTGTAAATGCAGTTTTTGGCTCAGTGATTTTAGTGGAGAGTTTGGAAAAATCCTACTGGAAGGTAGGTCGTGGTTTTTTCACCTTTTGAGCCAGGTGCTTTCCACGTAAAATCTCTGTGTTCTTTATTTTCTGTACTTATTATTCCGCAACAGTAGTGGTTGGAACACATAGAAGAACCAGTTCCTTCTATAATCAAGTTAAGCGAAAATTGGGTACCACACAAATCCCCCTCCCCCCCTCTCTTGTGTGGTATTGAAGTATAAAACATCAATTGGTATCAGAGCAGGTTATCCTTGAAGAGGCTAACACCTTAGGAACAGATCAAGATGAGTGCACCACCTGGAAACCGGGATGGGCATTCCACTGCTAGGCCTCCACTCTTTAATGGCCAGTACTATTCCTGGTGGAAGAACAGAATGAGAAACCACATCATAGGAGAAGACTATGATCTCTGGGACATAGTTATTGATGGTCCCCTGGCTACTACAAAGAAGAATGTTGAAGGAGTGGACGTGCCAAAGACAAGAGCTGACTGTACTACTGAAGATTTGAAGAAATGGGAAAAGATGCCAAGGCCAAGAAATGGCTTGTGTATGGACTAGGTCCAAACGAGTACAGCAGGATTCAAAGTTGTACCACTTCTAAGGAGATCCGGGACACTCTACAAGTGGCCCATGAAGGAACTCCTCAAGTAAAGAGATCAAGAGGAACACTGTTATATTCTCAATATGAGAATTTCACCATGAAGGAAGGAGAAACCATCCAAGAGATGTACACAAGGTTCACAACACTAACAAATGAACTTAAGTCTCTTGGAAGAATTATCCTTGAAGAAGACAAGGTTGAGAAAATCTTGACAAGGGTCTTGCCAGTAACTTGGGAAAGCAAAATCACGGCTATTCAGGAATCAAAGAACATTGCTACTCTCAAGTTGGATGAGCTGATTGGAAATCTCACTGCCTATGAATTGAGAAGGCAAACCGTGAAGATGGATGCACCCAAGAAGGAAAGGAGTCTGACTCTCAGAATAGCTGAAGGTGCAGACCTAGAGGATGATGAAATGGCTATGATCACAAGGGATTTCAAGAAGTACCTAATGAGAGTAAAGGGTTCTTCAATAGGTGCAACCTTCAACAAACCAAAGGCTCCTAAAAAACAGACCAACGAGGGCTGCTACAAATGTGGTAAAACTGAACACATGATCAAGAATTGTCCTCAGTGGGAAATCGAATGGAAGAAGGAAAGGGCTGAACGAAGAAACAGGAAGAAGGAACAGGTTCAACCCAATAGGAACAAAGGATCAACAAAGGCTATGGTTGCTGCTTGGGGGAGAAACCTCAGATGAGGATTTAGAAGATAAAGTTGGAGATGAACAAGCACTTATGGCCATTGGAGAATCAGACGATGAACAAGAGGTAAGTGTAATTCATCTCAAAGACAAGATTAAATTTTTGTCTAAAGAAAGGTTATCTGAATTATTGCTAGACTTCATTGATGAGTCTGAGGTCATAAACAATGAGAAGGAACAACTGTCTAGGGAGTGTGTGATCCTAAAAGCCAAGTGCAAAAATCTGGAATCTAGGGCTAGTGAAAGTGATAGTAAAAATACTGAGTTGAAGAACCAGGTTCTTGAACTTGACACCAGTGTCTTAGAACTTATGTCTAAAAATTTAAAACTGAAATTAGGAACAGGTAAGAAGAAGGCTGATCGCACACATCTCACCTTAGAAGAAAATCTAGGAAATATGAAGGATGAGTTGTACAAGAAAGATGAGCAGATAAGAGTCCTAAAAGAAGACCTAGGCAAGGTGAAGCATGAACTAGACAGAACTTGCAAATGGAATAAGTCCTCTGATGCACTATCCTGTAGCAACAAGAGAGGACTTGGCTATGGGACCCCAGCACCTAAGTGGGATCCCAAAAGCAAGTACATCACACTTCCTGAAAACAAAATCTGCACACACTATGGCAAAACTGGTCATTACAAAAGTCAATGTAATGCAAAAGAAAAGGCCAGTCAAAAGAACAAAACCTTTGTTCAAGAGAAAAATAGGTTGCTTGGATGGGCCAAAAGGAATTTAATTCACCCCTTTGCCTATAGAAAGGGACCCAAACTAGCTTGGGTTCCTAAGACTAATCCCTGATTTCGCTTTGCAGGTCCAAGTGAAGGGAAGTAGCCAAATATGGTACATGGATAGTGGCTGCTCAAAGCATATGACTGAAAGTAAGAACCAGTTCCTTTCACCTTAAGACCTAAAAGGAGGTAATGTCTCCTTTGAAAATGGGAAGAAAGGTGAGATCATTGGGGTTGGAAAGGTAGGTAAGACAGACTCACATTCCATTGAGAATGTCTACTTGATAGATGGCTTGAAATATAACCTAATCAGTGTATCACAACTGTGTGACAGAGGTAACCTGGTAGCATTCACCTCTACTAAATGTTTTGTGATTAATCTTACCACTGACGAGATTATTTTGCAGGGAAACAGAGTTAACAATATTTACATTGTAAATTTGTCCACTCTTTCAAAAAATGAACTCACTTGCTTGAGTGTGTTGGACAATGATCCCCTCCTGTGGCACAAAAGACTTGGTCATGCAAGTCTAAATCAACTCAACAAATTAGTCTCCAAGGACCTGGTGATAGGGTTACCTAACATCAAGTTCAAGGAAGACAAAGTTTGTGAGGCTTGTGCAAGGGGGAAGCAGGTGAGATCCTCTTTTAAAAGCAAGAAAATGGTAAGCACGACCAGGACGATGGAACTGGTTCATATGGATCTCTGTGGTCCAATGAGAACATTGAGCAGAGGTGGTAAGAAATATATGATGGTACTTGTTGATGATTACTCTAGGTTTACTTGGGTATTGTTCCTAACATCTAAGGATGAAGCATTTGACATGTTTACTGCCTTTGTTAGAAAAACTCAGAAACAACTAGGTAATCAACTTGCATCAATTAGGTCTGATCAGGGAATTGAATTTAAAAATGCTAAGTTTGCTGAATTTTGTGATGAGCATGGTATAGATCATAATTTCTCTGCACCTAGGACTCCTCAACAAAATGGAGTAGTTGAAAGAAAGAATAGGACTCTTGAAGATATGGCTAAGACTATGCTTCTTTCTAGTAAACTGCCCCATAGCTTCTGGGCAGAGGCTGTAAATACTGCATGTTACATCATTAATAGGTGCATGACTAGACCTCTTGTAGAGAAGACTCCCTATGAGTTACTTAAAGGGAGAAAACCAAATATATCCCATCTTAGGGCATTTGGATGCAAGTGCTTTGTGCACAATAATGGAAAGGACTCCCTAGGTAAGTTTGATCCCAGAAGTGATGAGGCAATTGTAGACATGTGATTTTTGACCCTCCCCAAGATTTTACATATTTTAGCATATAAATATTTAGTTTAGGTCTAATATAGTTATTTCAACTAGCTTTGACTCTTCTACTTTATTTTGTCACAAAAATGAAATTACAAAAATATTTTTTTTTATTTAGCTAATTGATATAAGATAGTTTTACTTTTAATTTTTAATTTTACTTTGATTAATTAGAAATGATTTCATGATTTTGTAGTTGTTATTTAAGGAGTTAATATTTTTAGTCTAGTAGAGTTGAAGGGCCATTTTTAAAGGTAAATTTGGCCAAAATTTGGCCCAATTCGGACCTAGCCCATAATTCCCAAGCCCATAATTCCTAGGCCCATACCCCCCTAACCTAAAT